CTCTGCTTGTTTTCCCCCTCCCCCTTTCCTCTTTAAGAGCTTTGCTGCAATAATGGAGCACGAGTCTGACAGAGTTTCCCTGATTAGATGTCAGCAGCGTATGATTTGAGATGCTCCCTGAGCTCTGGGAGCGCTGGACCGTATCTCCACTGTCACTCTGGAGCTGGGAAGGGTTTCCAGACCAGCATTCCACCCCAAACAACTGGCTGGCTGGTCTGATTTCATTATATTGACAATTTTTAGAGTTGTCTGCAGGAATCAAGGTTCGGGTCTGTACAGATGGGGGAGGCGCTGTCCGTGGCTGCAGAACTCACCCAAAAGCCAAATCCAATGTCTTGGTTAATGCAGGTACAGGGAGAAATGACCTTTTCATGGAGATACAGGTGGATTTGTGGATTTGATGGTGCATTTGTTGTGTTTTTTGGGGTGGGCAGCATGGGATTGCTGCGGGCAGCGGGAGCTCGTGGTGACCCCACAACCTTTCCCCGCTGCTTTTCCATGGAGTCCCTGTCAGGTTGGATTCCCCCTGCTCTGGCACAGCCCCCCAGAGGGACACAGCCCCTTCCCAGGCTGAAAATGCAGAACTGGAGCTCTGTCTGGGCTGGGCTCTGCTCTGCTGCTCCGGCTCGGAGCAGGGGGGAGGCGGCAGCTCCCRGAGCTGCGGCAGAGGGGGCAGAGCTGGCACTTATCAAAGCACATGTCAGCCTGATGAGAGCTCCTGCCAGGGCTCCCTGAGTCGCTGCTACACATGTTCAGCTCGATCTTGTCAGCTGCAGCCTCTCGGATATGGAGATTGTCCATGGAGGAGCAAAGCTCTGCCTGCGCTGTCTGCMCAGCTTTCCATGAGATGATCCCATCACCATCCTTGAGAAAACTTCCTTGTGTCCTCTGCAGCTGCAGAATRAACACAAGAGTGTGAAAACCGTTAAACTCACCCCAGGAACCAAATTGAAAAAGCAAAAAGTTTTGGGTTTTTTTTTTTTGTTGTTTTTTTTTTTTTTTAATCCCCTTGGTTCATGGTGCTGTTGAAATCATAGTTGGGGTGGGGAAGAGATTTTTGAAAATAAATATTTTTAAAAAAAACCAACACCCCTGAGAAGTGAAAAGAGCAACATCCCAGGAGCTCCAGGGAAACAGGGCATGAATACAGCCAGTCAGGAATGCTGCTCAGCTGATGTTCACAAGAAGGTTTCAACTYGCTCTATTTGAGACCTCAGCAAACCTCCAGGACAGAGAGAGCATTTAGAAAGGCCCCTGAGGTTTTCCGTTACTCTGCAGCAGCCTTGGTAAACATGCCCATAAATGCTGGGGAGAGAGGGAAAAAAAAAAACCTGCCCCAGGAACAGACCCAGGGTTTCAGCTGCTCCATCCTTCGCATCCCCTGCTGCTGCTGCTGGGGAGAAGGAGGCAGAGTTCAACTTCTGCTGAGCATTCGGTGCTGCTGCAGGTATTTCTGGGAAAAAATAAGGTGGAAGAGGCTGGAAGTTCCATCTGGAGCCATCTGAGGGAATGGAGATGGAAAGATAGTGGGACTCGTGTYGTGGGACGCTTTGTGAGTATGGAAAGCTCTGCTCTGCTGGAAGGGGGATGAGGAGGTGTGGGCTGAGAAGGGGAGAAGCTCCCACACGAGTGGTGTGGTGTGGATCTGGTTTCTGGCTGCCCAGAGTGATAAGGACCCTCTTCATCCTTCTGCTGCTTGTTTGAGTGATGAGGAGTGGGGATGGTGTTTGGGATCCCTCCTGAATGAAATACCTGAGTTGGGTGAAGCCTCTGTAACTCTGAACTTCCTCCTCAGCTGTGTGTGAGCCCCACARTCACGGACAGACACCAATATCAGAACAAGGGAAAAGGATGAATTGTTCTGCTGGGGGAGCCTCAGCTGCCTGTGTCTATTAAATTAACACCAGGCAGGTTTGCTCAGCTCGGGGATGAATGGCTGCTGGCCAGCGGTTCAGCGCTCTGGGAACGMACAAAAGCTCCTGAGGATGGAGGTGTGGAATTAATGACTCTTTAGGCAGCTGGAAGTGATGTGTGTTTATCTAATCGGGCACACTTTGCTGCTTTCTTGCTTTCCTGGAAGTGGCCGTGACGCACGTTCGCTTCCAGGGGCCCAAATGTGCCTCTGCTCGGGGGTTTGGGGTGATTTTTATTCCACCAGCAGCTCTAGCTGTGTCCTTAGTGTGGAACTGGGGGTCATGGGAGCAACCCAGGGCTGCCTTCCCCTTGCTGAGCCCCTGCCTGAGCAAGGTGMCAGCTCCCAAAAATCCTTCACCCCTCTCCCAGCCCCTCCTGGATGCTGCTGCTGGTGGAGTTGTAGGGTTTTTGGGCATTAGAAGGGGGTGCCCAGGGAGTCACCACCCCTGGAAGGGCTCAGGGAATGATTGGACATGGCACTCAGCACTCTGGCAAGGTGATAATCAGTTGGATTTGAGATCTTTGAGGCCTTTTTTTGCAGTGTGAATGTTGTGAGCTGCTGCCAGGTGAGCCCCTGGCTCGGCAGGGTGAGAGCATTCCCTGCTCCTCGTGACGCTCACATCAGCGCCTGTTCTCCACCTCCAGCCCTCCTGTCAGYCCCTCTGAACTCAGAGCCTGCTCATGAATCACCTCCAGGAGAAGCTGCTGCTGATGTGCACTGTGGAGAGGCAGAAATGTGCAGAAATGTTTTGTTGAATTGAGTCTTTACAGCTGCAAGGAATAAACCCCTTCAGGGTGGTGAGGGGCACGGAAATGAGCTTTAGGATCCTCATGGCTGAGCTGTGAGATGTGTTTGTGACCTTTGTGAGGTGTGTTTGTGATCTTTGGGGAGCTCCCACTGCTCTGAGCTCATCCCTGGTGAAGCTGAGCCTTTCAGAGCGGGGTTGGTGCAGTTTGGGTCCAGCCCTGGTGGCATTTGGAGCCCTGCCCAAGCTGGCTGTGTGCTGCTGCAGGAATCCCTGGAGCCTTTTTCCATTTAATCCCCGTGCTCTGCTGGCAGTCAGCTTTGATTTGTGAGTTTTGTGCCGTCTCTCCGTGAAGTTTGAGCAGCTCTGTGGCCCCAGGCTGGGATGGGGTGATGAGCCCTGGTGCTGCTGGGTGCGCTGGGAGCTGGAGAAGGGGTTTGGGGAGTTTGGGAAATTTGCAGAAACCACACAAAACTCTGTGATTTCTGCTCTCAGGGCTCAGTGTGGAGATTATTCCCTTCCCCCAGGATTTYCCCTCAAGCTTGGGAGCTGTCACAGGACCCTGAGTGAGAGCTTTGCTCTCTGCCCTGGATGGTTTTGCTGCAGGGGGGTGTCATGTGGGGATCATTCAGGACCCATCAGAGATGGGGAACAGCAGGGTGGGAKGGCAGGAGCTTTCCCAGGGCTATTTTTGTACATTCTGGGTGTTTTCAGCAAGGCAGGAGCAGCTGGAGGGACACTGGAACTTAACAGGGTTTGGAGCCCAGGAGTCAGAGCTGAGCTTTGCTTCACCCACTCTGTTGTTGTTGGAATATTAAATCAAATAAATATCATCAATTCTGCCAAATTTTGATTCTTCTCTCAGGTTCAAGGCAGGATTTTGCTCCTCTCAAGGCTGGGCCTATGCTAGTTAGAAAATATTTGCTCCTTCACTTAGTTTTCCAGTCTGTGACTATAGAGGAAAGCTCAAAGTTGAGTCCCAGAAACATTATTTCAGTTAAAAACATGATGATAAAGCAACAAATCCACAGATGTACTAAATTGTCTATTTGTTATGATTTTTCTCAATGCCAGTCCCATGGCTTTTGTGGTTTAGAGTGAGGTTTGTAAGTCCCAAATTCCAGAGGCTGTGATGAGATCAGGGTCGTGGTGTGACCTGGCTGTGACTCGGTAGCCAAAGCTTCACCCAGCCCTGTGACAGCACTTTGAAAAAAWCCCAAAACAACAGGAAAAAAAACCCCACATTTGAATTTCAAGGCCAGCACAGCTGCACCATCCCAGCCCTCTGATTTTCAGTTAACCAGAGCAAAGATCTGCTGTGGTTTGATTTCTTTCTGTGTGACATTTGTGCTGTTGGCAACACCCCCCTGATGTGAGCGTTGTTTTTGCAGGAGCCAGGCCAAAGAGACTCCAGAGGAACAGCATGGACAGCTTAGACCTCCTCAAGTTCCCTTCTGAAAAGGTGAGCTGAGCTGTCTGGCCTCCCAGATGAAGTGTCAGTGGGAATCTGTGCACGGATTTTGGTTTGTTGTTGGCTGGCTTCATTTGCAGGGAAATATGCAATTAGCAGATATCAGTGGAGTCAATGGGATTAACCAAAGAGGGTTTCTAGAGAGCTTGGAGGAGAGGAACAGCTGGTCTGACTAAAAAGGCACTTAACACTCAAAGCTGAAAAGCCACTTCTGGGCTTTTTTATTTTGCAAAAGCAGCGCTTTATTGGAAGGATCATGGTGAGTGGTTTAGGCCCTGAGTGGCTGTGACAGGTCCTGTGTTTGTCACCCCAGCAGAGGACAGAGAGGGCAGGCACAGGAGATGGAGCATGGCAGGAAGCAGAGGGTTTGCTCAGGGTTTTCTCTGGGGTTTGCTCAGGGTTTGCTCAGGGTTTGCTCAGGGGTTTGCTCAGGGGTTTGCTCAGGGTTTGCTCAGGGGTTTGCTCAGGGGTTTGCTCAGGGTTTGTTCCAGGTTTTTTTCCAGGTTTTGCTCAGGGGATTTCTCCGGGATTTGCTCCAGGGTTGGTTCCAGGGTTGCTCCAGGGTTTGCTCAGGGCTTTCTCCAGGGTTTTCTCCAGGGTTTGCTCAGGGTTTTCTCCAGGGTTTGTTCCAGGATTTCTCCAGGGTTTTCTCCAGGTTTTGCTCAGGGTTTTCTCCAGGGTTTGTTCCAGGATTTCTCCAGGGTTTTCCTCTGCTCTGCCTCGCTGGTGATGTGGGATCTGAGTGTTTCCTCCGTGTCCCCAGGGCAGGGTTTGCACCTGCAGCAGCTGGAGGCACAGAGCCTTCCCAGCCACAGGGATTGCTTCAGGCTCCCAGAAAATCCTGCTGGTGCTGCCCAGGGCTCAGTGATGCCYGTTCCCACAGGAGGTGGCCAGGCCTGCAGCTTTCTGCTTTTTTTGGAATGTTTTGGCACAAATCACCCATATTCACCCAGACACAGCTCTCCCGAGTRTCTCAGGGAGCATTTCCCCTTTATAGAACTGTCACAGAGAAAAAGCTCATCCAAGCTGCAGGTGGGTGCAGACAGGCAAGGGGAAACAACCTCAGGCTGGAGAAACCTTTCAGGTTCCTAAAAACCACGAGTGCTGGGAATGGCAGGCAAAAGCTCCACCCTGAATTAACTCTCTTTGGAAAATAAATTCCAAATATCCTGATGTGTTTTTATCAATTCTCCCCCTGCCCCTGGGCTGTTTTGGCTCTTGCCTGCTCTCACCAAGGTGACTCCAGCTCTGGGTGTCGATGGTGGGAACAGCAGTGCCCRAGGTCAGGGGACATTGGCTGCTGTGTCCCTGTCAGAGAGCACAGCCCCGAGGGCCCTGCTGGTGTGTGACCTGCTGCTAATGCTGTCAGTGCTGCTGCTTTGCTGCTCTTTGCTGTCAAAGCTGAGCACCACTCGATATTGGGGCAGGGTGATGGATTTCAGGGGTTTTGCAGGGGCTCTGCAGTCAGGTGTGAGCTCTTCCTGCAGTGCTCCTGGGGAATGTGAGCTCACCTCTCCTGTTTTGGGTGCAATTCCTCTGTCCCAGCTCACAGCTCCTTTGCTCTGTGCTGTGGTGGGGGGGATGAGGTGGTGAAGAGTAAATCCATGAATTGTGATTGATCTCTCAGCCCTGTGTCACCTCCTGCCCCCCAACTCTGTCAAAAACACCTTCAGAGCCATCCAGACCCCTCATTATTGTGCTCCCTGCCTGTGCCTCTGCCCAGAGCTGTGTGCTGGGGCACAGGGAATGCCCACCCTGCTTCTGAAACTCCAGCACAGCACAAACACACTGCTCCCTGCTCCTCCTGCTCTCCCCAGCCTGTCTCTCACTCCTCCATTTGAAGTTTTATCTCCCAGCCTGTTGTTTGCTCCTTGTGTACCACACTGGAATCTCTTTTTCTCATGCTGGGTTTTACCCTGGAGGTGTCTGTGTGCTGTGATTGAGTCATCTCTCCTGGCTGTCGTGCCCTGAGCAGTGTGAGGCCTCCAGCCAAGGCATTTTTTGGTTCTGATTTATTGATTTCTGTCCATGTGGCTGCTTTCTTTGATGTGGGCACTGGCCTGGTCCCATCAACGGCATCCAGGGAAAGGAATCTCTCCTTCCTTGTTCTCACTGTTCCTGTTTGGGATCTCTGTCACCTCCCTTTCCCCACTCCTGCGGTGAAAATCCCGAATTTTGGTGTCTGTGGGAGCACAAACACCACGTTAACTCCTGCTCTGTGGGCATGAACCAGCAGATCCCCACAAAAACCCAAACAGGCAATTGCTGCAATGACTGTTTCTTGCTTTCCCAAGGAGCAGAATGGGGACAGCCACCACGTGGGAGAGCTGAAGATCTCAGGAAAGGAGTTCTTGTCATTACCTGTGAGAACCAAGAAATACCGGGAGCACCAAYCCAGCTCGGAGAGGAAACCCCAGGGATCAAATGCATCCCCTCTGGACGCTGGGGAAGTGCGAGTCCAGCTGCCACAGTCGGTAGGAAGATGATTTTTATCTCCATGCTGATCTGGGAGTTGCTTCTGTTTTGTTTTTACCTCCTTTCCAGCCGGGTTTGGGGGTGGCAGTGGGGCTTTTTTGGCTGGAAAGCAGAATCTGTTTTTAACTCTGCTCTTTGTTGGCTCTGGGGGCAAATCCTTTTGCCTCTTTGAGCCTCAGCATCTGATCAGTGTCCATCACAAACTGGTTTGGGAGAGATTGGCCCTCAGTGGTGACATTTAGAACCTTCTCTTGAGGGATGAGGCTGGAGCTGAGCTCTGCTGGGTTCAGGTTTGTCAGGAGGTGAACTGCAGGAAAACACAGCAGTGTTTGAGTGCTCTGTGGAGCTCGATTTGCTCAGCTCCTGGGGTGAGTGAGGAGTGGGATTTTTGCCTCCAAAACCCAGAGCCCTTCCCAGGTCTGTGCTGAGCACCCAAGAGCAGCGGTTTCCTTTGCCAGATGTGGGACTGGGGATGTTCCACCTCGTGTTCTGATCACACTGATGTTCAGGGATCTCTTAGAATTCATCAGAGATGGTAGAAATCAGCACCCAGGAGCTTTTCTTACCATTCCCTCAAGAGCAGGAGCTTACCCTGATGTGGGTGATTTCCCATTTTCTGTGTTGGGGAGCTCTGCTCAGTCTGTGCTTGGCTCCATATCCTGGAAAGCTCCCCAGGTGCCTTTTTCCTGCCTTTAACCTGGCAATTCTGCTGCTTTGGGGCCGTTCCCTTCCGTTTGTGTTGATATTTGTTGTGACACACAGCAAACACAAATGCTGGGGTGCTTCCCTGCAGCTGTGCTGGGTTTGTTCCCACCCTGGGCACGGGGATCACTCCCACATTTCTGGGTTGGTTTGAACTCTGTGATCTCAAGTGAGAAGCCCCAAATCCTCAGCTGGTTGCCAGGAGAGACAAAGCGTAACGGGGAAAAAAATCAATGATCTCATGGGTGCTTGGATTTAGGTTTTTGCTTTACACTCAGTCTGTAGCACACTATCACAGCTCTGTGATCAGGCAGTGATCCCAGATGGAGCAAATCCAAGCCAGAAAAGATAGACCTGATTTTTTTTTTTTCTTGGTATTTAAGAGAAGCGAAATTCAATATTTTCATGCTGGGTAGGAAGGAGTTGGAGCTGTTGGGATGGAGCCTGGCTGCAGAGTGGGGATGCTTGAAGGTGTTTCTACCTCTGAGTACTTTATTCCTCATCTGTGGATCATGGGGAGAGCATATCCYGCTGTGCTGTGTGCATAAGAGCATGGCCACATCCCATTTTTACCACAGAAATTCCTGATTTTCAGTTCTCTGGCCGCTGGAGACCGGATTTTTACACCAACTGGGTTTTTTTTTAGCCCTCTCTGAGCTCATCCTCCGTTCCCAACATTGCTCGTGGAAATGGTCTGCTGGGAGAAACATTTCCTGCAGTTCACCGGTGCAAACATGATCATTGAGAAGGAAAACAAAGCTCATCTGAGCTGGAGAGGAGACAGCAGCATGGGGGCACACGAGGCGATACAAAAACAGAAAAAAAAAACCCCATTTCTGCCAGAAATAGCCTCGTATTTTTAACTCAGACATTCAGCCAGAGACCAAACAAAAGCCACGCTCCATCAAGAGCTGGGAGAAGCATTCCTTAGGAGTGTAGCTGTGGATCCATGGGTTGTGCCTAACAAAAAAAGGGCCTGTGGGGCTTTGCCACCTCTGGTGACCTCTTGGCAGCATTTGTGGGGTTTGGGGAGTGGCCWGAGGGCTCTGTGGTGGCTCTGGGGATTGAGTGGGGTCACCTCAGGGGAGTTTTGCTGTGTGTATGGTACTGACAGYTTTRCCAGGMYGACCCTRCAGCACGGGCCAGACCTCAGAATRTTTRAAGTCAGCGCTGTCCCGTGGGCTTTGCTGAGAGCAAAGTTCTGCTGCTGTAGGGGAATCCAAAAACTGTGATTCCATCCACGGGAACCTCTGTAATCAAAGGGAGCAGTGGAGAGATCAGACCACAACTCGCCCAGATTCCTCATTTGGTGAGGAAAAAGCAAAAATTCTCTTTAATCTCTTGGTAATGATCTCATTGGTAAAGTGTGAGTGCCCCAATCCCAGAAGAGAGCCCAGGCTGCCTGCAGGGATGCCCTGGGAATAAACTTATCCCAGTGTTAGGAAAATGAATCTGTAAGCACTAGAGGCTTACGTTTAAAAAGGAGATAGAGGAGTATTGCAACTTCATTCATGAATAAAGGGAGAGGTCACAGGTGTTTCTTATGGGGGTCTCTCAAATTCCTAGAGGACTCTTTTATCCCAATTTCCCGGCCTCGGTTCCCTCTTTCTTTCCCCATTTGCTGAGGTACTTGAGAGGTACAGGTTCTCTGAAACGCCTGATGAAATCCCCCTTCTTCATTTCTTCTTTTTTTTATATGCATCTTTATGTCTCTGCTTTTGTAGTTTATTAACATAGACTGGGGTAAGCCAATCAGTAGAATTCCTATGCAAATCCTTCCTATTGTTTCTTTCTTTCTCCCAATATCAGCCAATATCTCCCAATATCTCCCAATATCTCTTATTCTGGGATAACCAGAATAAGAGTCATCCCCAGAATCAGAGTCTGTTTATAAAGACACTTCCTTCTCCCTCCTTTCACTCCCATCCCCTGGCTGTTGTTGAGCTCCCTCTCCCCCTCCGTGGATGGGGTAACGCTGCTCCCTGCCTCCCCCGGGGAGGTTACAGAGGCGTGATGATGGCTCTAAAGTTGTTTGAGCTTGGCATGGCAGGAGCTGTGCTGGTTGTTATTAGCATCGCTGATGATGCTGCTAATTACCGAGCTGCTGGGAAACTCCCCATGGGAGGGGGCGGGGAGGGCAGGGAAGAGTGAAATGTGAGCAAACAGGGGATGGAGAGCAGCCTGTCCCTTCTGGCAGCTCTGCCGGGCCCCGAGAGGAGGGCTCAGCCCGTGGGGATGTTGGGATGGATGGCAGGAGCCATGGCCCAGCTGCTGCGGAAGGTAGGAGAGCGTGGCAAAATCCCCCCGTGCCTCGGGAGCTCCTGTTTCACAGGATCCCTCACTCTTCCCACACCCCCTGAAGTGCAGGAATTCCGTGGCTGGTGCTTGCTGGGAGGAGAAGGAGCAGCCCTGGTTGTGTTTGGGGATGGGCAGGGACAGGGATCTGTCCACCCCTGAGCTCAGGTGGGAACCTTGCTCTCCACACCAAAGATGGGTTTGTTCTGCAGAGTCTGAGATGCTTTTGGTCACGTTTTTTAGAGCTCCGTCCCTGTGCCTGCAGTCGTGGGTAGCCAGCTCTGAGTGCCCCCAGATCCCTGCCTGGGACTCGTGCAGCGCTCACCTTCTGAGTTTCCTCTCTTCCAAAAGGAACATCAAAGCAGAGGTTTTGTACTACACGAGACTTGCAGACATCAAAGGCTTGCTCATAAATTTAACCCCTCTCTCCACGGTGGTGAAGGTCAGAACGCTCCAGCTCGGGATTGGTGYGGTAGCAGATGTGTTCCAGGGGATTGGTAGGAGGTGAGAAGGAAGAATGGGATTTTTCTAGTGCTTCAAAAATCTCAGAGATTGTGCCCTCAYCCTCCTCTCTGAGAGAGTGAGTTCTGTGCAGTGAGAGTCCAGGGAAGAAAGGGGCTGTGCATTCTGGAAAAGACTTCCTGGGGGCCTGCCCCAATTCTGGGCCTGGGTTTAAGGTCCAAGCTGAAGTCTTTGAGGTCGATGGGACTGAATTGGGTCCAGGTCCATTATTTGGAGCAAAACCCATGGAGGTAAGGATCCAACCCACTCTTCCCTGGGTCTGTGCTCTGGAAATGGTGCTGACCCTCTGCTCTCTGCCCTTCCCAGGCWGTGACTCCTCACYCTGCAGACCTGTCCCCCACTTTGAGCTCAGCCCAGCCCATTTATAGTCAAGGCAAAGAGGAGCTGTGTTTGATTGCACTGACGACTTGCAGGGGTGGGTTGCTGATGTATTTAGACATTGAACAATTTTCAAGMGCTCTGCATCGTCAAACATTCCCTGGGACAAATGTTTTTATAAGGCCTTYTTTATGATTACAGTGAGAAGCAACCATAAAAAAAGGAAATTTTTTGTAGGTCATACATCCCCGCCCCAGAGGCAGCTTGCCAGGGTTCTTGTGATGGTTTTCTGTCTCAGGATTTGCTGGGGGATTGGTGGTTTGCAGGATGCTCGTGGTTGACCCTATAAGGGTCAGTCTGGGGTCGGTGGCAGGGAGCAGAGTGGAGGGTCCTGCCTGTCCCTGCTGAATCAGGGGGTGCCAGGTGTCCCCAGGGGGCTGAATGGGTACTGGGGTGCAAGGATGTGCCAYCTTTGGGGGCTTCTGGCCCCAGAGCACCATTTCCATGGTGTCTTGCCTTGTTTRAGAGGAGCTTGGTGCTTCCTCTTCTCAGGAGCAGGAACACGGGGTTTGCACCTTTCCACCTTCCCTCCCTTGTAACCCCAGGCTGGCCCTGCTGTGTGAGTCCCATGGCACAAGGGCAGTGCCAATCACACCCTGGTGCAGCCACAGCCTGCACTGGCTCTGTTGCAGGGCTGTAATTATGCCATTAGTGCCGCTCAGACTTTCTGGTGTAAACGTGCTCGGAGCTCGGGGGAGAAGCCGGAGCCAGGGACAGAGGAAAAGCAGCTGCTGCTGAATTTCAGACCGTTCCTATGACACCTGCAGGCTGCTGTGGTGGTGTCAGCCCTGCTGGAAGTGAGCAGGTAAACACTGAGCCAGGCTTTGGGAGTGTTTTTATCTCCTTGTTCAGCTCGTGGGACCTTTTCAAGTGCTCGGGGCAGGGAGGCTGCAGGAGGGATGTGCAGGGAAACCTGGAGAGCTCGAGCCTGACAGGGATGGGGAGGCTCTTCCAGGRGTTTGGGCTGTGGGGAGAAGCACTCAGGGATCTGATTGTCTCCCCAGAGTCACCTTAAATTGTCTGGCCTGTCTTTCTCTCTTTATTGAGCTGTGGGGTTCTTCTTTAACTCATGCTGCACAGATCTGCCTGAGCCAGGAAAGGT